AGCGCTGCTACAGCGAAGGGAGTCAGGGGGGGCGCCCTTAGCTGTAGCAGCGCTGGCGGCACGCAGGCAGTAAAATGTGTTGGCCTGAGAAGGGTGGAAAACAACGATCGGACGTGTGGGGGCGGCGGTTGCGAAGAGGCATTTCGCCGGACTCCCACGCACCTAAGAACTGTGGCATGTGGGCGAAAAAGCAAGAACTTATTATAATGGTAAGCATTTCGTTCAAGGGTGCGCCCGCCGCGCCGCGCCGCCTCTATTTATTAAGCTATTGAGTTATTATCTTTCCTTCTTTTTTTGTACATACAATCACCCACACCTTACATACCTACTACTGACCTACACTAAATGACAAATCAACCGGACCTACAGTCATCAATAACATTATTTGTTATGTATTTCGAATATTCATGGTCACATAAAAATGCGGCAATATGAATTTAAATAGCAAACAAAATGTACAGAAAGATCTGACAATGCTTAAATACTAACTACCGATTAACTACCCATTAATTTTACTCAAAATATTCCTGCTTTTTTAGTTGTATGAACAGGACCACTATGAACTTTTTGGGTGTATTTGAGTTTTCTGCTTAAATTTCCATATATGAAGATTGGAAAAACGTTGGCGGTTGTTGTAGAACAAACAAAATAGCTCAAAACCCCAACGCCAACCCCAACTGTTCACTTGGTTTTACTGCAGTCCCTGAAGATGGTAACTTTGTTACCGAAAAGTGCCTTGGACAACTACAGTGTCGTATTTTGGCGTTGGGGTTTTGAGCTATTTTGTTTGTTCTATAAATTTCCATGAACATGAAAAATTTCACAAAAATGCATGTAGGTACTCTGTCGTAGCGAGTGTGGCCGATCTTCCCGCACTCACTTGTTTTCAGTGTTGTTTGAATGTTTTGTTCACCCGATGCTTTCATCTAATTTGCAAGACAAACATGTAGCTTATTCCATTGTTTTATTTTGTTGGTTTGATTCGAAGAAATAACTTTCTTCGAATCGAATACATAGATGGTATCTACATACCTAAACATTATTTATAGACAAAGCAGTAATTGCATAACAATGAGTTTATTTGTTTAATTATTTCTTCGAGTAAGTCATCCGTGACTACTTCTAAACATTACATATTGTACCCCTCAAATTTTACATTTAACTCATGTTGTTGAATCTTTTTTTTTTTTTTTTGAACATGTTAATAGTTCATTAAATTAAAAAGTATTAAGATACAGTTGAAACTGGTTACTAAGTCTAGATAATAATTTGCTAGGCATTTTAGATATTAATGTGAAATCAATTTAAGTTCTTCCCACTGCAGACTACCTCAAGTTAATGAGGAAAAATGTGATGTTGATCACACAGCCTCGCCGGGATTCGAACCCGAACCCGGACCTCATTCTTACCACTTTTCATTTCGAATTTGCCTTTGAAAGAACTCCCAAGTAATCTGGAATACCCTCAAATGGGATTAAGTACTTACTTCTCACTTCGTTGGTGTTGTCATTTCCTCCCATAACTTTATGACCTAACCTAACCAAACCTTAACCGATGATCACGGTAGGAAAAGAAAATACGCGAAAGAAGTGACGAAGCAGGGGCGGCCTTAGCCATTGGAAGGTTCCGGGCGGGTAAATTTTTGCGAGGCCCTAGTCTTTGTGGAATTAATGTTAATGATGATACTTGAAAAAATTAGAAGAAGTGGCTGATTTTAGATACCTAGGAAGGATGGAAGGAGTAGTAGGGATATAAAACAGAGGATAGGGCAGGGTCGTTTCGCCTTTATTAAAAAGAAGTCACTTCTATGCTGGCGAACGGTTAATTTAGAAATTCGAAAAAGGTTGCTAAAGGTGTATATTTGGAGCACGGCGTTGTACGGGTGCGAAACATGGACAGTAGGCGCGGCGGAAAAGAAAAGGTTAGAAGCGTTCGAAATGTGGTGTTATAGGTGGATTATGAGAATAACGTGGGTAAAAAAGGAGTTAAGAGGGGTAAAGGTAGACCTAGATTAGATTACTGTTCGCCAATAGTTAAGGATGTGGGCTGTACTAGTTTTAGGTCAGGATAGGAAAGAGGTGGAGGTACGTGTCCAACCAGTCTTAGGACTGACGACCTTATTATGATGATGATGACTTGAAAAATGCAAAGTGATTCATAAATAAGTTTACAATTTTAAAACTGTTTATCGAAAATTAAAAAAAATTGATAAAGACAAAGATAGCAAATTTGCGACTTCTTTTAAGACTATTAAGAAATTCAAATAAACATTAGTGGTATGTACTATTACTACCTAATATTTTTCTAATTAGATTGTTGCGCGAGTGCGCGAGGCCCCTTCAAGAGCGAGGCCCCGGGCGGTTGCCCTGTTCGCCACC